TATCCTCCTGGTAGACATTAAGGAAACACATACTTCACCTGAAAAATGTGTCCATTTTCATGCTTCTTGAGTTTTCTTTCTTTTTCAGCGCCCATTGCCGTGTGATCAGAAATAGAAGGGGCAAAATGCAGAAACAGAATACAGCTAAAAGAGGCAAATAACAGAAATTCAAATTGCAGTGTGACAACATGAATTTGTAGTTTTAAATTGGTTCTGTTAGCGTGATAATATGCAAAATATGTCTCTACATGGACAAAAATTGGGCAAGAACGTATTTGTGTTTTGGGAATCAGAGTATGGGCGGTTGCTTTTTAATTTTTAATTTAAATATTTTTTTGAGAGACAAGGCCTCACTGTCACTCAGGCTGCTCACTGCATCCTCAGACTCCTGGGCTCATGTGATCCTCCCAGTTCCGTCTCCCAAGTAGCAGGGAGAACAGGCGCACACCACCACACTAGGATAATTTTTGTAGAGACGGGGATCTCACTCTTTTGCCAGGGCTGGTCTTGAACTCCCGGCCTCAAGTGATTTTCCCGCCTCAGACTCCCAAGGTGCTACTGGTATGAGCCACTGCACCTATGCCTTTAATATTTTAAATTGTACACAGTACTTTAAAAGTCAGAGTGCATTTTGGAAACAGACTTTCTAAAGCACTTTCCTTCCAGGTGTTTGTTCTTTTATTCCTTACTGAGGTATAACATACATACAGAAAAATGCACGAATTCCAGTGATTTTTCGCAAATTGAACACACACATGTAACTAGCACCCAGACAAGGAAACAGACCATGACCAGGCCTCCCCCTCCAAAAATAAAACCCCCTCCCACCTTTCAGGTGCTCCTGCCAACCTGGGGCCACTCTGCTGTGGCCCAACACCTTGATGACTCTGCTTTAGATGAAAGGTCCTGGAGTTGCAGACACAGAGCCTGGGAGATTCCAGTGTGATTAGAAATGCTAAGGATGACAGCTGGGTTCTCATTTTTATTTTGTGGTTTGATTTTTGTTTTTGTAAATTTCAGTTTATTGACTCATCTGAAGCTTTGTAAAGATTTTGAAGTCGACAATGCTATAAAGGATTTTGCTGCGAAACTATCTTTAATACCCAGTCCGCCGCCTGGACCGCTCCATTTGGTAAAGTAGACCTGCAGTTATATTGTTTTTTCTTTGCAAATAGTGAAAGTAAGATGTTGAAGGCAATGTAAATGTTTAAAACGATTTCTGAAGTTCTAGCCGTAAATCTAAAATAAAATCCTAAGCCCCAACCCCCTACAGCTGGCTGACTGGACCCCCCTTTGGCCAAGGGGCCCCCAGAGAATCCTGAAAAACAGAATTACTGGCCAGAATGGAAAGGAGGTCAGACACTCCCAGTTATATCCTCTCCCTTTTGCATGAGCGTATGGGGTGTTTGTGCATAGGATTTTAAACCAAAACTAAAATCCTATGCCCCCCTATTGACTGAACAGTTTCCTTCCTGGCCAAGGGGACCCTAGAAAAACTTTAAAAATGAAATTCCCAGCCATGACAGGAAGGAAGATCAGACATGCCTTGTTATGCTCCCTCCCTTTTGGAGTTTAGGCACAGCTGATCAGCGTTAGGTTAAAATGGAGATTCTCCCTGGGCGTGGTGGCTCACACCAATAATCCCAGCACTTTGGGAGGCCAAGGTGGGTGGATCACGAGGTCAGGAATTCGAGACTAGTCTGGCCAACGTAGTGAAACCCCGTCTCTACTAAAAATACAAAACATTAGCCGGGTGTGGTGGTATGTGCCTGTAATCCCAGCTACTTGGGAGGCTGAGGCAGGAGAATCTCGTGGACCCAGGAGGCAGAGGTTGCAGTGAGCTGGGATTGCACCATTGCACTACTCCAGCCTGGGCAACAGTGCCAAACTCTGTCCATCTCAAAAAAAAAAGGAGATCCTAAGACCGACAGAACAGACTCTCTGTGGCCCTAAGATTCCAAACTATGAAGAAAACCTAAGGCCACACAAAGTTAGCGTTAAGTCTCTCCCTACAAAGCATAAGCGCTCCTTAAACAGGTATAATGTGGCTACTTTCCACCCTGACTCTGCTATAGCATCCCATGGCAGATACCAGACCCTGAAGGAAATAAAAATATTTTACCGCAAAATATGTTTCTTGGACGTATTTTGAAAGGACACTGCAAAGCTGTCTTCTGTGGGGGATATTTGCATCTGTAGAGAATCTACTGATGCAGCCAGGCCTGCCGTTCTAGGCCTTTCCCAGATCTAGGAGAGATGAACTGAGAGGTCGACACCTTTAAAGTCTGAAAAGGGACATTCACCATCTGTTCTCCCTGAGGGCTGCCATCTGCAAGTCTTCATTTATGTAACAAGGCATTGGCCCCAATGCCATTGACTCCAGCATTCTTGCCTACTGCCTTCAGGTCTTTAAATAGTAGCTCAGCTTTCTCAACCCATTGTCAGGAATCCCTAAAACCCACCTGTGACTTATACCTCCCTCCTCTTGGAGATGTCCCGCCTTTTTGGGACAAAGGAACATGCACTTTCCGTGTACTGATGTATGTCTTTGCCAGTGACTCCTGTCTCTGTACAATGTGTAAAGCCAAACTGTAACCTGGCCATGTGGGGACCACTTACTTGTGACCTCTTTAGAGTGTTCCCTAGGCCATGGCCACTCAGAACAAACCCCTTTAAAATATTTTATAGAGTTTTGTTTTTCCATTAACACTGTATTTCAGTTATGTTTCTCAAGGTTCTTATGGAAACACACTGTTTCTGAGGGTGAGAAGTTAAATATTTAGACGTGAGTTTTGCTGAGTGACATGTGGTAAACAGAGCTGGTAATATGTTGTGGCACATCAGTTCATGGCTCCCTGTGCAGATAATACGTGGAAACCTGAATCCTTCTGTATACGAATTTATTCAAATTACAGATTTCTCTTTTGTTTATTTATTTATTTATTTGTTTATTTATTTATTTATTTGAGACGGAGTCTTGCTCTGTTGCTCAGGCTGGAGTGCAGTGGTGTGATCTTGGCTCGCTGTAAACTCTGCCTCCTGGGTGTAAGCAATTCTCTTGCCTCAGCTTCCTGAGTAGCTGGAACTACAGGCGCGTGCCACCACACCCAGCTAATTTTTTGTGTTTTTAATAGAGAAGGGGTGTCACCATGTTGGTGAGGATGGTCTCCATCTCCTGACCTTGTGATCTGACCGCGTCGGCCTCTCAAAGTGCTGGGATTGCGGGTGTGAGCCACTGCCCAGCCTGGATATTGTTTTTGTTTGTTGGTGTTTTCTCTTGTACAGTGTGATTAATGAGAAGTAACTGGTTTTATATTTTTGTTACTCTTAGATGTAGCACTGTGTTAGCAAACGTTTCGCAGGCTGGCTTTTTTCTGAGAGATGTTTTTGGCGATTTCAAGACACAGGGTTTGGGGTTTAGTGAAGCTGGAGATGTGGCTGACCGCCTTCCCCTTTTGTTGGTTGAGAAACATGTCAGGCTGCTCAGCTATGTGAAGAAACCCGTTTGACTCAGCATCTTCCAAACTAATTTTAACCGTACTTAGGATGCTGCTTTTTATTTTTTCCTTTAATAGACACCTGTCAAACATCGCAAAATGTTTAGTAACTGTCGATTCAGTTTCATTGTGTTAAGTCTTCTGGAAGATTATACATATTAATCTTGATCTTCTACATTTTTCTTTACTGACAATTGAAAAAATAAGTTTATCTTATCAGAAGACACACCATCATGAACTTAAAATGTGCATTTTACCGTGATCCCACCCCTAGCAGTCTGCTGGGTGGAAAATCCTGCCAGTGCATTCCAGTCCAGATGCAGAGCAGGCCGCCGGGGGTGTCAGTTCTGCTCCCAGAGGCCTTTGTGGGGAATGTTTATTGGCCACGTGTTTTATGTACCTCTTTTATGTGGATAGTTGACATTTTCTTGTCAACAGTATGTGCTGTGAAATCACCAAAGTTTATGTTCTTGTTCTATAAACTCGGCAAGTATTTACCGAGGGCTATGTGAACAGAACCAAACCTCTGACTTCAGAACAGTTTCAGGGTGAGCAGCAATGTGCCACACTTAGTCTTTGAACATAAGGAATGCGTGCATAGCACTCCCAGTGTTTTTCTGTGTCTCCCGAGCTGATGACTCTTGTCTCCTGTATCTCGATGTGAGGAAGCTCACTGAGGGTCACTGTTGGCCTGCTCACCCCTCTCCCTTTCTGTCACTCAGCCTGGCTGACTGCCTTCATCATTGATTTCCAGTTTGCCCATTTCCTTGCTGCCACTTCATTCTGGGTCACCAGCTGCTCCCACCTGTGTGACTTGGGAACCACGTCTGTCTGGTTCAGTTCATTGTTGACCGTTCCATTTGCCCTCTGCACATTCGCTGCAGAGATTGTTATAATGTAAACATTGGGGCCAGGCTTGGTGGCTCATGCCTGTAATCCCAGCACTTTGGGAGGCTGAGGCAGACGGATCACCTGAGGTCAGGAGTTCAAGACCAGCCTGGCCAACATGGTGAAACTCTGTCTCTACTAAAAAAATACAAAAGTTAGATGGGCGCAGCCAAGATTTCGCCATTGCACTCCAGCCTGGGAGACAGAGCAAGACTCTGTCTCCAAAAAAAAAAAAAAAAGTATATACACACACACACACACATTGGGCTTTGCTTCTCTTCCCCAAGCCCCAGAACAGTTTCTCGCTGTTTGCCTTCCTCAGCCCTACAGCCTGGACCCTGTCTCACTGTCCAGCTCTGTTTTGTTGTTGTTGTTTTTTGAGACGGAGTCTCACTCTGTTGCCAGGCTGGAGTGCAGTGGTGCGATCTTGGCTCACTGCACACTCCAACTCCGTGGTTGAAGTGATTCTCCTGACTCAGCCTCCCGAGTAGCTGGGATTACAGGCATGCGCCACCACGCCCAGCTACATTTTGTATTTTTAGTAGAGATGGGGTTTTACCATGTTGGCCAGGATAGTCTTGATCTACTGACCTCGTGTTCCGCCTGCCTTGGCCTCCCATAGTGCTGGGATTACAGGCATGAGCCACCGCGCCCGGCCTGTCCAGCGCTGTTTTATGCTGCCCCCTGGTATGCTGATCTCCAGCCTCACTGGACTCCTGTCTGTTCCCTGAAGATGCCAGCACAGGGCCCTTGCACACACTGTTCCCAGAAACACTGTTTCCGCCGTTTTCTTGTGGCCAGCTGTGGCTCATCTCTGGTCACTCTCAGCAGTCAGGTCTTTGGATTGTCTTCTCTGGGTGATCCCCACTCCCATCTCTCTGATAGCACCCAGTTCTCATCCCGCAGGCACAGCACAGTTTGTAATGAGGGCTTCTGTGCATGTGTTTTTGTTTAATGTTTGTTCCTCCATCAGACTCTCAGCTGCATGAAGGTAGAGACCACACTCAGCACCGCATATCTAGGGCTCACAGCCGGGCCCGCACAGAGCTGCCCAGGAGAGAGCTGTACAGTGGGCAGGTGTGGGCAGGGATGCTCTGGGTTCCAGCATTAGCCAGTCAGTGCCCACTGATCTGCGTCCTGTGCGTTTGTCTGAATGAGTGACTTAGTCTGTATCAGGCTTGACTCAGTGTGGCTCTCCCACACCAAGTCTAATTAGCTACTGACTTTAAGTTGGTATAATGCTTGGGATCTATTTTAGGGAATGTCATATATTAATGTTTACCATTTTGAATAAATCAAAGAGGTCAATGTAGGCCAAGGTTCTCATCTGACGCAGGAGCCAATGCAGTCATATTTTCTAGAACCCACTGCAAACTAAGGTAGCGTAGAGGCTGTCGTAGAGAGCAGTAGTGAGATGGGTCTTGTGTTTTGAATGTGTGTGTGTTTCCCGTTACTTCTAATCTGGGTTCTCTCTGATCTATGCTGGTGAAAAGGAGGGAGGAGGGAAGGGGCCCCACAGCACAGGGAGTAGAGGAGAGGGCCATGCCCTGTGCCTTGTTTCCCTGGTTCCCGTTCAGCCCCCTTCCTCAGATGGTGCATGGACTACCAGCTGGAGCCTGGCGAGGACTGGAAACAGCCCCAGCCTGCACTGACCTGCCTTCTGGGGCTGATTTTACCTGCTTTGCAAATCTTGGGCTTAATTGTGTGTGCAAAATGACACACACACACACACACACACACACACAGGCTTCTCTTGCACTGTACCTGAGTCATTTTCTGTGTTGCTTTGTACGTTACACCTGTTCTTTCCTGGGGCTCAAATCAAGCTGAGATCTGGAAACTGTTTACCTTAAACATCTCTCTCCTCAGTCTCTTCGTCTGTGGAGTGGGTGACATAACAGCCCACTTCAGAGAGTGTGAATATTACACGCTGGAAATCTCTAGCGTGCACCCGAGACCACCCAAAGGCTGGTGGAGTTCTTAGCATTTGTGTTTTTTTTTTTTTTTTTTATCATTAATTGGATAGCTGGTTGACACATTTATTTTTTGAAATATTGAAAATGTTTCCTATAAACTTGAAAATTATTAATACTGTGCCCCAACTTGGATAATTTAACTTTGCCTTCTTTTCTTTTCTTTTACATAAAAGAACCTTATTCACATAAATGAATCTGCCTTATTTTCAACGTGTCTTGCTTCTGTACACGAATTGGTAACAAGAAAGCAAAGAGACCTAAGCACAGTGGGTCCTCAGTGTGGCAGGCAGGTTCTCAGAAACTGCAGCATTAACTGGGTCACAAATTCGATTTCACCATAGACTAATTGATACAGACGAGAGCAAGTTCCTCTGGCATACTACTGGTCATAAAAACATCAGCAGACTTCTAAATAAAGACCCAAAGCACTTCTGATATTAAACACTGAAGTAAATGGGAGCTGTACACACATTTAAGAACGATGAATTAAAATAAGGAAGAACATCATTTACCTGCTTATTGCAGTTCAGGGCTGAGGGTGGACGGAGCTTAGTGCCTCAGTGGGAACCAGCTCTGGGCAGATGCTATCCCGTGGCAGGGCAGTCCCGAGCTCTCCCATGCTTGCTCACACCAGGACCAGTCCGCGTGCCGGCTGGGCTTCAGGATGTGGCAGGAAACCAGAGGACCTGGAGCTGGGCATGGGCATGGGCACGGGCACGAGGAGACTGTGAAGGTGCCCCCTGCGGGGACACAATTCCTTTTTCTCATCAACATTATCACAAAATGATGTTATTCAAGGACCTGTGTCTTGCTAGGAAGCAACACTGGTGTCCCCACCACCAAGAAATTACCACCTTTTCTTGTTTTCAGTTTCTTGTGTGCATATGTGCTTAGAATACGGACTTGGGTGACTGGGAGCAGGCAGGGGCACTAGAGACCTTGTTTGTGACCTGTTTTTCCACCCTGGCTCCCGCTCCTCTTGGTTTCTCACCCTCCCAGGCGCTCCCTTGATGGAGTCTCAGCCGTCTGCTCTGATCACGTCTCTCCTCTCTGTCTCCCTGTGCTTTGCTTACACTTAGATCCGTCCATTCTGTTCATTTCCTGGAGCTTCGGGTGCCGGGCCAGGCACCCACATTTCCTGAGGGCCTCCCGCGTGCCAGCACCCGGGTGGCAGGAACCCGCTGTTTGCAGCCCATCCATGGCAGGCTCGGAAGCCCTCCCTCAGTGAAGGAACTGAACCTCCTCTGGACTCCCTCCGCCAGGTCCAGCCGCATCTCAGTAGCCATTCTGTGAATGCAGAATTCGAATTGAAGTGTGAATTCAAAGTAGTATATTTAGAAAAATGTCTTTCTTAAAATTTTAAATGTACATGTCTTGAAGGAGCTTTGACTATTAAATTGAAAGTATTAAGAGAGTTTGTAGCATACAGTAACTAAGAATATATAATACCTGAGAATAATTTGAACATGCTTGATTTAGAATTGGTGTTAATTGGTACAAATATCTGGTCTGTAGTTTATCTCTGTCTAGACAATGAATAATTTGCTGATTAGAGTTTAAGGAATTTTGGCTTTCTTAGAAAAAGACATTAAGTACTTAATTTACGTTTGAGCCTTTATCTGCAGTTCTGTGTATCTCTAAACTGTTTAGTTATTCTGCATAATTTAACGTGGCAGCCTGTGTCTTCAGAAATGTTTTCTAGCCCTGATGCCTTCGGTGTGGAAATAGTGACTTGAGTGCATTTCAGCCTCTGCCCGGAGCAGCTCTCTGAACTAATAATGGGAACTGGCTGTTGCAGGTTTTTAACATGAAGCCGCTCCAGATTGTGTTTCCCGCCCGAGCGGACCCGGAGAGCCCTGTCCTGGACCTGGACCTTCACTTGCCCTTGCTGTGCTTCCGGCCGGAGAAGGTGCTGCAGGTGCGCGCCCCCGCCCTCACGAGATTAGTGGGGCCTCAGAGTGATGATCAGGGACGATGAAAGTGCGAGTTTCTTCCACAGTGTACCCACCGGTATACTCGAAATGTTTATTACTATTTTTTAAGGCCAGCGTTCTCTACAGTGCCTGGTATTTGCAAATGGCAGTCTTTGCGGGGTCTCAGGTGGCTTTTGTTTGGCAGATAGAGCTGGGAGACCAGGGAAGAGCTAGCTGTGCTGGGTTGTGTGTTTATGAGCATTTTCTCTGGACTGCACTGAATCGGAAGTGTGTATGCGGGCCGGGCGCGGTGGCACATGCCTCTAATCCCAGCACTTTGGGAGGCTGAAGTGGAAGAATTGCTTGAGGCCAGGAGTTTGAGACCAGCCTGAGCGACGCAGGGAGACCCAGTCTCTACAAAAAAAATTTTTAAAAGCTAGCTGGATATGGAGGCATGTTCCTGTAGTCCCAGATACTTGGGAGGCCAAGGTGGGAGGATTGAGCCCAGGAGTTCACGGCTGCAGTGAGCTGTGATCATACCTCTGCACCCCAGCCTGGGCAACACAATGAGACCCTGTCTGTATTTTTTGTTTTTTAAAAGTGTGCACTCAGTGTGGTGGGTTCTCCCCTCAGATCCTGACGTGCATCCTGATGGAACAGCGGATCGTATTCTTCTCCTCGGACTGGGCTCTGCTGACGCTGGTCGCCGAGTGCTTCATGGCCTACCTGCACCCCCTGCAGTGGCAGCACCCCTTCGTGCCCATCCTGTCGGACCAGATGCTGGATTTCGTCATGGCCCCCACGTCCTTCCTCATGGGCTGCCATCTTGACCACTTCGAAGAAGTCAGCAAGGTTAGGTCGAGAACTGTTGGTTTGGAATGCTAAATTCCTATGAGTCCATCACGGGGACACATGGGAAGATGTGTCTGAAAGTGCTCTGTGGTGAAGGCGGGGTCTGCGCGCCACAGCAAGGTCACGGGCACCATGAGAAGTGGCTGTTCGCTTGCTGTGTCATCGTCCTGTGGTGAAGCCGGGACCCCTTAGCATCCCAGTAGAGACAAGACAGTGAGTGTGGTCACCTCATTGTCCCGGTGAGGACCGAGTGGGGTGGTCGCCAGCGCCAGGCCTGAAGTAGGTTGTCGTGGGTGGTGCTGTCGCGACTCCTCTGCCGGCCTGACGTGGCATGTTCTCCACTGGTGAGTGGATGGAATCGTGCTAAGTCTTGTCAAGATGCCAGCAGGCAGACTGGGTTTGGTTTTTAAAAATAGTTTTATTGAGATACAATTTACATACCTCAAAGTTTACCCAATTAAAATACATGATTTGGTGGATTTTAGGATATTTATAGAGTCGTGTAACCATCTGCTGTCTGATTTTAGAAGGAAATTTTCGTCACCCCGTAAAAATACACTGTACACATCAGCAGTCAACCCCCAGCACTGGCAGCCACGCCCGTGCGCCTCGTCTCTGGGTTTGCGGTTCTGGACCTTTCGTGGGAGCAGTCACTCCATGCATGGTCCTTCTCACGTCATGGTTGAGACACTCCTCCACACTGGAGCACACATTATTTTTATCGCTGACTAGGGTTTCACTGTAGACCGAATTTTGTTCTTCCACGCACAATGAGGTTGTCATGATAAATTCCTCATCACAGTGTTCAGTGATGGCATGTGGGTTGTTTGCACTTTTGGCTGCTGTGATGAATGCTGCTGTGGACATTTGTGTGCAGGTTTTTGTGTGGATGTGTGCCTCCGTTTCCCTCCGGTGTGTCCCTAGGAATGGAATTGCTGGGTCATAAGGCAGCTCTTTGTTTAACCCTTTGAGGAACTGCTAGGCTGTTTTTGCGAAGTGGCCACGCCGTTTCACTCCCACCAGCAGTACGAGGGGTCCAGCTTCCGCTCACGTCCTTGCCAGTGCTGGTTGTTGTCTCCTTTTAATTGCAGCCCTCCAGTGAGGAGGAGCTGGTGTCTCGCTGCGGTTTCACGTGCATTTCCCCGGATATGAGCATCTTTTCCTGTGCTTAGTGGTGCTTTGTACAGGGTAGGTGTACATACAGCTTTCCATTTTGAAAATTATCTTTCATTTTTTTTGAGATAGACTCTCTCTCTGTTCCCTACACTGGAGTGCAATGGTGTGATCTCAGCGCACTGCAACCTCTGCCTCCCAGGCTCAAGCAGTTCTCCTGTCGCAGCCTCCCCAGTAGCTGGGATTACAGGTGCACGCCACCACACCTGGCTAATTTTTGTATTTTTAGTAGAGATGGGGATTCACCATGTTGCCCTGGCTGCTGTTGAACTCCTGGCCTCAAGTGACCCACCCACCTCGGCCTCCCAAAGTGCTGGGATTACAATCGTGAGCCACTGTGCCCCTCCCCGTTTTGAAAATTTCTAAATGTGATAAAAATAGAAGAATACAGCATGTGACCTGCGCCCTCACAGTCCTCAGCCTGTTGCCAGCTTTGTAGTCACCCGCAGCACTACTTTTCCCAGGGCATTTGAAAGCAAATCCCAGGCTCCAGATGCTTCCCCCACAAGTGCTGGGAAGGGCTGTCAGCTGGCCTGGCCAGGGTTCCCGCCGCGGTGTAGAACAGCGCTTGTGTGTTCCTGCCCAGGCAAGTGAGTCAGTGGGGAAACACACAGGAAAAGGCCATGCAGACCTCCACAGAAGGAGCGGAAAAGCGTCACCAGCCCGCCTTGCAGACGAGGAGAAACTGAGCTGTGTTCAGAAGCTCAAAGTTGTTTCTTTTCTTAGTCATTAGGGGAAAAAAAATTATGTTTCAGGCTGTTTTAGGAGGAAAACCGTTTTCACACGTTAACCTAGCGGTTCCAGCCAACGGGGAGATGTTGTGGAGGATTTCGGGAGAAGCAGCTGCTCTTCTGGGTTGGTTGGGCATTTTGTTTTTTGTGGCTGGCGGTGACCCTATGCGCCTCCATGAAACCCTCCTGCCTCTCGCAGAGACGCTGGGTGTTAACACCTACACGGGGCCAGCTGTGTGCCTCGCTGCTTTAGCGTTTTCTGCATTTGCCTTGTAAGGTTTTGAGGCCAAGAGTATGTTTGCACATATTTCAAGCAGCCACCTGAATTGCACTCTAGAGGGCAGGGCCCAGAATGAGAGCTGGGAGTTGGGACCTTGGCTGGGAAACTGGCGTCACATTCTGGGACTGCTGGAGTGCGGGGCCCGAGTGCATTACTCAGTGTTTGTGTACTCTGTCACAGGGGACTCTCCAAGTCATCCATGTGCACATTTCAAATATCCCAGGGCTGCGTGGTCTCTTAGCCCAGGCCCTGCCCATGCCCTGGTACGTGGAGGGACGGAGCTGGCTGGGGAGCTGAGCGTACACCCTGGGCGTTGGAGGTTGGTGGTGCCCTCACTGGAGTTCTGGAATGCTTCCTCCAGGACTCTAAGAAGCAGTATATGCAGTGTTTGTATCAGGGTGTATTGGAATCTTTTTTTTTTTTTTTTTGAGATGGAGTTTCACTCTTGTTGTCCAGGCTGGAGTGCAGTGGTGCGATCTCAACTCACTGCAACCCCCTCCTCCCAGATTCAAGCAATTCTCCTGCCTCAGCCTCCTGAGTAGCTGGGATTATAGGCACATGCCACCATGCCTGGCTAATTTTTGTATTTTTAGTAGAGACGAGGTTTCGCCATGTTGGCCAGGCTGGTCTTGAACTCCTGGCCTCAGGTGATCCACCTGCCTTGGTCTCTCAAAGTGCTGGGATTACAGGCATGAACCACCTCACCTGGCCTGTATTGGACTCTTGACTGAAAGAGAAAGGGATATGGGTAAGCAAAATGTGGTCTTTCCAAATAACAGACTATTGAGGCTGAAGAAGCCAGGGCCATCTGACACGTGCCGCAGATGGGTGAGCCTCACCGACATCAGCGCTGAGTGAAATAGGCCAGCCCCAAAAGAACAAATGCTGTTCGTGAATCCACTCGTTTGAAACCCCTAGAGGAGTCAAATTCATGGAGACAGGAAGCAGAACGGTGGGCGCATGGAGGGGAGGCTGGGAGCTGTGCTGGATGGGGACAGTTTCAGTTTGGGATGATGAAAACGTTCTGGGAATGGAGGGGGAGAAGCTTACACAGCCACTCAAACGCACTTACACTGTTGAGCTGCACGCTTAGCATGGTTACATTGATACAGTTTATGTTCATTTTACCACAATTAAGAAAAATAAGAGAAAGACATACTTAATCAAATTTAGCCCATTAACATAACTCATGATATATACTAGATTTTTGTGTAGAAAATATAAGGCTATGTGTACATTTATTTTATTATGCTTATTTTTTTTGAGAGAGGGTTTCACTCTGCTGCCCAGGCTTCAGTGCAGTGGTGTGATCTCAGCTCACTGCGGCCTCCACCTCCTGGGCTCAAGGGATCCTCCTGCCTCAGCCTCCCGAGTAGCTGGGACCACTTGGCTAATTTCTTTTAAATTTTTTTGTAGAGACAGCCTTACTGTGTTGCTCAGGCTGGTCTCAAACTCCTGGGCTCAAGCAGTCTCCCTGCCTCGGCCTCCCAAAGTGCTAGGATTACAGGTATAAGTCATGCGCCCAGCCTCTGTGTGCATTTTAAAGAGGGTCATTTAATTAATGATGTCACTGTCTTAGTGGATGCAAAATATATTTGTGTATTTTCAAAGAGGTGTGCAAACTACGAGATTCTTCCATCAATCTTTACAGATCACTCCTTGTTTTCTAGGAAGCTGACGGTTTAGTTCTGATAAATATTGATCATGGGAGCGTCACCTACTCCAAGTCTGCGAACAATAGTGTGGACATTCCTGATGTCCCCCTCCTGGCAGCCCAGACATTCATTCAGAGGTAACGGGAAACATTAATAGTATGAATTTCAGACCGTCTTTGTTCAGATTTTGTATCTGCCACTTTGAGTATCTTTTCCAATTTTATATAATTGATAGGTATTTTATGTATTATAATTTGGAAATTATTTGTGAATTTGTTTTTGAGATGGAGTCTCATTCTTGTCGCCCAGGCTGGGGTGCAGTGGGGCAATCTCGGTTCACTGCAACCTCTGCCTCCCAGGTTCAAGCGATTCTCCTGCCTCAGCCTCCCAAGTAGCTGGGATTACAGGCACCCACCACCATGACTGGCTAATTTTTGTGTTTTCAGTTTTCACCATGTTGGCCAGGCTGGTCTTGAACTCCTAGACTCAAGTGACCCGTCCAGCTTGGCCTCCCAAAGTGCTGAGATTACAGGCATGAGTCACTGCGCCCAACTGTGAATGTTTTTAAATAAAAGTGATTTGTCTTTATTCCAATATTGTCTAAATGTTAGTTCGAGTCCAGAGACAGTCACATCCCCCAGGAAACCTACCCAGCCTCTGTCCTGTGCCCCAGGATCCTGTGCCTATGATCCTTGAAGTTCCCTATCCATCCTTCATTCATTCATTCACTAGATGTGTATTGCATACCTGTTGTATACCTGGAATTGGGCAGGGCTTGCGTACTAATGGCAGGACAGCCATGACTCCTGTCCTGTGACTTTGTCAGTCTGTTGGGTTCTGACGGGCGTGGCCCATTCTCCTTGAGCTGGAAGTTTCCATTTCTTTCACTTTCTCTTCCTGGCACTAATGGGGATTTTTTTTTTTTTTTTTTTTAGGTGGAGTCTTGCCCTGTCACCCAGGCTGGAGTGCAATGGCATGATCTTGGCTCACTGCAACCTCTGCCTCCTGGGTTCAAGCGATTCTCTTGCCTCAGCCTCCTGAGTAGCTGGGATTACAGGCGCCCACCACCATGCCCAGCTAATTTTTTGTATTTTTAGTGGAGATGGGGTTTTACTACTTGTTGGCCAGGCCGGTCTTGACCTCCTGACCTCGTGATCTGCTCGCCTCAGCCTCCCAGGGTGCTGGGATTACAGGCGTGAGTCACCGTGCCTGGTCTGGCGCTTTATTTTTTCACACCATTTTATAGTTTTATATTTTCTTTAATCTCTGTTACTTAACCTCATTGGCTTAGGTCGGGCATCAGCAAACTTCTTTTAAGAAGGGTCAAATGATAAATATTTCAGGCTTTGGGGGCCCTGAGGTCTCTGTCGTGGTGAAGAGACTTAACAGGGACTTTGGTCAGGGGAGGGTGAGAGGAGGTGTAATTGCTAAATATGTCAAAACAGAGGTGTTGGGTCATCTTGGGTGTCACCCAAGCAGTGACTCATCTCCGGGGCCAGGGCTCCCTTGGGGTTCTCTGCAGAGCTCATTTTTCCCTTCAGCGTTTTATAAACTGACAGCGGGAGAGAGCAGATTGTGGGATCCAGCTGCAGTCAGGCCTAGTGCCATTTGTGGAGCTGATGCTGGTGGGAGGGGAGCGCTTGGGCTGTTTGTAAACAGCTGGGCTGTAGGAGCTGAGCTTCGCATGAAGCCTGCGAAGCAGCCTGGATTCTGGTCAGCGGTCACCTTTCCTCTCTTCGCCTCTTTTGCCTTTGCGTTGTTGGCAGGTCAAATGAGGAGTGAGCTGAGAGCTGGGGGCGTGGGAAGGAGGAGGGCTGTTTCTGGCCTGGCTTTTCACCTGGCTTTTCCGATTTCTGACTCTTACCTTGGTATGGATTATTCCTTCTACCTGGAAGCTTTCTGCAAAATGTTTAGGAGAACTACCTTGTTTTTTTTTTTTTTTTGAGACGGAGTTTCGCTCTTGTTACCCAGGCTGGAGTGCAATGGCGCGATCTCGGCTCACCGCAACCTCCGCCTCCCAGGTTCAGGTAATTCTCCTGCCCCAGCCTCCTGAGTCGCTGGGATTACAGGCACACGCCACCATGCCCAGCTAATTTTTTGTATTTTTAGCAGAGATGGGGTTTCACCATGTTGACCAGGATGGTCTCGATCTCTTGACCTCGTGATCCACCCGCCTCGGCCTCCTACAGTGCTGGGATTACAGGCTTGAGCCACTGCGCCCGGCCCCTTGTTTGTTTTTTTAAGAGACAGAGTCTCGCTCTGTCACCCAGGCTAGAGTGCAGTGGCATGATCTCAGCTCACAACAATCTCTGCCTCCCAGGTTCAAGTGATTCTCCTCCTTCAGCCTCTTGAGTAGCTGGGACTACAGCCACCTGCCAACACACCTGGCTCATTTTTATATTTTTAGTAGAGATGGGGTTTCACCATGTTGGTCAGGCTGGTCTCAAACTCTGACCTCAGGTGATCCATCTGCCTCGGCCTCCCAAAGTGCTTGGATTAAGGTGTGAGCCACCGTGCCGGGCCAGAGAACTACTTTTATTATTGTTCTTCCGTCTTACAGAACTCCCAAAGGCCCTAAAGCTAAGTGGTGGTCCCGCAAAGGCAAGGTCTGTTTGTGTTTGCTTGGGCCGTGCAGTCGGGCTGTCCTCCCAGCCAAGGGCACCTGAGCAGCCATTCTGTTAGGACCTGTCCTCTGTGTGAACTTCAAAGGTGATACGTGCTCTCCCAATTGTTTTAGTTACTTTCTTACGAGCCACAGCTGCTTCCTGGAGTTTTCCAGTGTGGTACCGTGTAATAGAACTGACCTTTGTGAGACTGTGGTGGAGCTCTGAGCATTCCCAGGAAGGTGGCATTCCCCCCTGTGTCCTCATGTTCTTGTTAGAATTCGGGAATTAAACATACACGGTGCAGAGGCTGGACCCCGCTTCGGCTGGAGCCCCCAGAATGGAGATGCAGGGTGGCGTGTATCCCACAGTCTCATTTTTGGAAGCTGTTTTATAAACACGAGCTAATCCGTGTGCCATGGGTGACCTGCCTATAAGAGGCCTCTGAGCTCACCGTACGGGCTGTGGGCTGTAGTGGGAGGGGTCTCCTTGAGGGGTCTGGAGTGCATTGTGCATCTCTCTGCACATGGGCTTGTGTCCCTTGGGAGGGACAGGGCAGCCCCTTCCTTCCCCAGCTTTCCCCAGCACCCTGGGCTCTTGGTCACTCTCTGCACTGCTATCTTCGTCTCTGATGGAAGTCACTGTCTCACTGGGCAGCAGGGACAGGGCCCCCAGCTCAGGGCTGTGCTTGGGTGAGGGAGGCATGGGGTTCCAGGGAGGGGACAGCCATCTCCTTCAGACCGCACTGTCCCTGCACCAGAAGATGTAGGAAGAGAAGCTGGCACTCCAGGCGGCATCTTAGCCCTTTTTACATGAGGAAAGTCATCAGAATTTCTTTCCCTGACATTCTGTGTGTTCTTCTGGGTGAAAGGCCAGTTTGGTGCCGATAAACATCGCAGTTCTTGAGACCCCTCTAGGCAGGAGTAGTTGCCCAAGTCCCATACGTCTGGTCAGCCAGGGCCGGGCTGGTCCCTCAGCAGCTGCTGCTCAGCACATTTGGAGAGAACACTGGTCCTGGCCCTGGCGCCACCTGCCTGCTACCATCCCCTGGCGGGCCACGACACCCGGAATTCCGTTCTTCCTTTTTCCTGTCCCTGCCTCCAGGAGGGTCAGGCAGTCACAGGGGCCTGTGGCCATGCACTGTTTTCATCACAGAGATGAAGACTGGCTCTTGCTGGCCTTGCTGACCTGGGCTGCACTGGGTCCAGCAAGCCCCCACCTGCCTCTTCCTGTCACATCTCAGGTTCCAGGTCATCTCCTGGGAGAACTCTTCTCCCCCCACTCAGTCTGACTGTCGTGTCTCTGTAGCCTGTCGCTCTGTGTTGCCTGATGTCTCTGCCTGAGGCCCCGTTATCTCCTGTTTTCTTGGGTTGTCTGTTTTCCTGCTTCCTCCCACTCACATGGAAGTGTCATGCAGGCAGGCAGGGGCTTGGCCTGTGTCCACCACGCCTCCCCAGCACGCAGATCAGTGGATGGCATACAGTAGGTGCTCAGTAAATATGTGTGACCGGATACGTGTTGGTTCTGTTTATTTTGTATGTTTCCACCGTCCCTCTAGACATGCAGCCTTGAGTGGTGTTGGGAAGGCCCGGCGTCCAGTCTCACAGAGGCTCAGGGTTGACAGGTATCTGTGAGTTCCTGTGCCTGAGTGAGGCCCTCTGGATGAGTCAGTGGCCATCTCCTGGTGGGCCAAGAGTGCTGACACCTAGGACATTTGTTGCAGGGCACAGAGGGCCATCTGATCCTGCCTGGGCAGGAAGTGCAGAGGGGAAGCCATGAGGGAGCATGACTGTCCCTTCTAGGCAGCCATGAGTGACCTGTCAAGAGGCAGCCTCACCTGGAGCCCTTTGGTGTCCTAGAAGGAGGAGTGCCCTGACTGCAGTGCCAGGGCGGGTGATCTGGCCTGGGTGAACTGTGCGTAGTCCAAGTCAAGGCCTGTGTGAGTCCATGTGTGGCGGCGAATCAACTCTTCCAGTGATGTACTTTTAGTGGCCACCCTGTCCCTCAAATTACTGATCTGTATTTGAGCCTGTGAAGTGTTCATTTACCTGGCGGGCTGTGTGCTGCTGGTGAGCGGCTGTGGCTGGCGGCACTGGGGCTGAGTCTGCTTCGGTCTGCCTCCTTCCAGGGTGCAGAGCCTCCAGCTGCACCACGAGCTGCACGCCGCCCACCTCTGCTCCAGCACAGACCTGAATGAGGGCCGAGCCCACCGGCGCGCCTGGCAGCAGAAACTCAACTGCCAGATACAGCAGACCACCCTGCAACTGCTCGTGAGCGTCTTCAGGTACGTGAGAGGACATTCCAGTGTCCAGGAAAGGGTAACCCGCTAGCCTCCCATTCCACAGGGATCGCGCGCCCTGCCCCAGCTGCCTGGCAAACATGAGCGGTCCCTATCCCTGCAAAAGCTTTTCTTGTGACTGTTACAATCAGCAAGCGTCTGGTGAGTTCGTTCTTTTGACTCTGACCCTGCTTGTGCCTTCCTAACGCTCTCTCCTGCTGGTGACCCCTGCAGGTGGCTGTTTTGGGATAGCCCTCTAGGGAGACTCGAATCTGAGACACCTGCGGGAAGCCCGTCACTCTGGCCTGTGCGGTTCCGGGCTCTGGGTCAGTCTGCAGAGGGCTCTGTCCCGAGAAGCCTGCATCCAGGGGCTAATGAGGGACAGACGGGCCATTTTGATGTGACTCAAGCTAGATAATGAAACCAGGTATGAGAGAGCCACAGGAGGATGCAGACTCAAGATGCGCCTATTAGAAAGTTCTCCTTCTCCTCATACCAGTAACTGTAGCATCAGACACGCCCCACGTGCTCTTCCTTCCGCAGCACGTGAGCTTGCGGGGAAGTGGACGAGTCAAGGTTGTTTATTTCAGTGTGATACAGCACAGGTACTGAGCTGCTGTTTCAGGCCCACACATGCAGTCAGAAGGAATACGTGGCAAAACGATAGCTTCATAGAGAAGTACTTTTTGGTGCGAAAGCCTTTGGGCCCCCTCTTTCTCCCACCCTTTCTCCTTTTCCCTGGCAGCATTCTTCCTCTCCTTTTCACTGGTTGCCCCTGAGTCCAGCAACAAAGGAGGCACCCCTGATGCCAGCCTCGTCTGTTCTTGAGGGGCCTTCCGCTTTGGGAGGGGGTTAGCACAGAGCCTGCTGGCTTGATAGTGCTCTGCGTAATTATTTAAAAATGGAGATTTGAATGGCCTTTTTTGTTTTGGGCACTTGGTTGCCCAAGCTGGAGTGCGGTGGTGCAGTCTTGGCTCACTGCAACTGCCGCCTCCCAGGTTCAAGCGATTTTCCTGCCTCACCATGCCAGGTAGCTGAGACTACAGGCGCACGCCACCACGCCTGGCTAATTTTTGTGTTTTTAGTAGAGATGGGGTTTCACCATGTTTGCCAGGCTAGTCTCCAACTCCTGACCTCACGTGATCTGCCCACCTTGGCCTCCCAAAGTGCTGGGATTATAGACGTGAGCCACTGCACCCGGTCTGAACAGCCTGTTCTTTTGATGTATTTATTTGCATAAAGCGAATAACATATTAGGAAAAAATGGAATAGTGTATTACAGACAGGTGATATTATCTCTGCTCAAAGAGGCATAATTAGTGTGGTCCTAAATATGTTGTTTTCCTTTTGTTCTTTGAAGATGAAATGTTGTATGAACAAGTATTTTTTTTCTTAATGTGTTGCAAGCTCAATTAGTTGACAGAAAAGCAGGATAGTCCCAGCCCCTGGAGAGGCTGAGGTGCGAGGATCCCTTGAGGCTAGGAGTTTGAGACCATCCTGGACAACATAGCAAGATCCTGGCTCTTTAAAAAAAAGAAGCAGAAAATATGATTGCAGATGATAAAATGTTATTTCCCCTAGATGAAATCGTTTATTCTCTCAAGGAAAACGCTGAACACATTATGTACCAAACATGCCCTGTAAGCTTATTCATTCTACTTGTATACTACTTTAGATCTGGGAGATCATGTGCTAAAATCTTGATGAGTTTATAACATGATCTGAGGAAATCAGGTACAAAGAGGTGAAGTGGGCCAGGGCGAGGTGGCTCACACCTGTAATCCCAGCACTTTGGGAGGCTGAGGCGGGCAGATCACCTGAGGTCAGGAGTTTGAGACCAGCCTGGCCAATGTGGTGAAACCCCATCTCTACTAAAAATACAAAAATTAGCTGGACGTGGTGGTGTGCACCTGTAGTCCCAGCTACCTAAGAGGCTGAGGCAGGAGAATCGCTTGAACCTGGGCAGCAGAGATTGCAGTGAGCAAAGACTGTGCCGCTACACTCCAGCCTAGACTGAGACGACGTCTAAAAAACAAAGAGGTGAAGTGACTTGTCGGGGGAGGCTGGTGGCGAGCTAGGCAGGACTTGGAGAGTCTGGCCGCCCCTCTGGGCTCCCCACCTGGAACCCAGTTTCATGTGTGGGAACTGAAACTGATTTTTGTGTCTTGATTTGCATAAGGAACTAGCGGGCTGGAGGACGGTGAGAACAGGAACACTGCCTCTGGGAGCTTTATTCTAGTTGGGGGAAATTCATGTGTGACCACAAAGTACATCCATGTCGTATCACTGTGGTAATCAATAATCTTTCTGAAGAACAGGGCTTTTTCAAAGTTTGTATTTCTTGTCACCATTTTTCTGCTGCTAAAGGTTGTGTGTTCTTCGTGTATTTAAGAATGTTGTAGCACTCAGACTATCTTTCTCTTTGTTAGGGATGTGAAGAATCATTTAAATTATGAACACAGAGTCTTCAATAGTGAAGAATTTCTCAAAACCAGGGCTCCAGGGGACCATCAGTTTTATAAGCAGGTGAGAGCTGTGGGATTTGGGTGTGACTGTGTGTGTTCACTCTGTTATTCTGCTCTGTATTTAAAGACTTTTCACAATAAATTTTCTCAAATGTATCAGTTTTCCAAAAAGTTTGTTTTAGCATGTTTTGATCATGTGGCTCTCTCTCCCTTTTTAAAGTCAGCTTTTTAAGAGTATAATATACTTATGGCTGGGCATGTTGGCTCACACCTCTAATCCCAGCACTTTGGGAGGCCAAGGCGGGTGGATCACCTGAGGTCAGGAGTTCGAGACTGGCCTGGTCATTGTGGTGAAATCCCGTCCCTACTAAAAATATACAAAAATTAGTTGGGTGTGGTAGTGCACCTCTGTAATCCCAGTTACTCAGGAGGCTGAGGCAGGAGAATTGCTTGAATCCAGGGGGCGGAGGTTGCATAGAGCCAAGATGGTGCCACTACACTCCAGCCTGGGTGACAGAGCAAGATTTCTCTCAAAAATAAAAGAGTATACTTTATCTAAAATATGGCCATCTTAAGAGTGTGGTCTGGTGGATTTTGACACATGTACATATCTGTATCGCCACTTCCTCAACCTGGACATAGAATGCTACCATCGTCCCAGTCAGCCCCCTCCCTCCCCGGGTCCCGGCAACCTTACCCTAACCCCGTGGACGGTTTACCCATCTCCGAGGCTCATGTCGTGCGGTCCCGTGGCCTGCGCTCTGTCGGCCTCTCTCCTCAGCCTCCTACTTTGGACTGAGCTGGGCTACTGTGTTTCAGCGGCGGCTCCTTTTTTTGTAGGAATGTCCCGTGGTTGGGACAAAGTGCGCTTTGTTCTGTCCACCTGCTACTGAGCATTTGGGTTGTTTCTGTTTGTGACTATTACAAAAAAAAAAAAAAATCACCCTGGGGGTGTTGCCGGGGCAGGCGACTGAAGCTGCCTGAAGAGCCCCTTGGTCCTTTTGGAGTTTGTTTTTACAGCTTTGGGGTGGGCCAGAGCAGCCTTTTTCTATGGCTGGTTTCTAGCCTGGCCCATCTGCTAAGTGATGTGCGCCCCCTCATGCCTCCTGAATGGCCCGGGGTCAGCAGGGCCCTCCGTCCTGGCTGTTGGGAACGTGACTGGCCCTCTGCCCTTTGTGAGCTTGGAGACTTGGTTTGCTTACAGCTTCCCAGTCATTCTTTGTCTGGTTTTATGCAGTTTCGCCGTATGTCTGGGCATCGGGGTATTCAGCAAAGTCTTGGGGAGCCTGATGCAGCCTCCGGGAGCTCCCGGATTCATCCCTTCCTCTCCAGAGCCCTGCCCGAGGCTTCCAGGGGCCGCAGCCTCCGGGAGCTCCCTCCACGCCCTCAGTGCTGGAGCCAGCCACGAGCCTCCCTCTTGTCCAGCATCTGAAAAACAGTGGTTTCCTCTTTATGATGGAGTTTCCTCATAGCTTATGTCAGGAGGGTCTGTCTGAGTCTTGCGTACTGCCTTATGGCCAGAAGCGTGTGTCCACCTCGTTTAGCTCTGATGAAATATGCATTTGTTCACGGTGTGGGTATGTGGGACCCAGTGTTTGAATGTATGACAGCCATTTCTTCTGTGTGCATGAGGAACAGCAGAAAGCCCTTGAGTTCATTCACTCAGCCAGCGCCCACTGGGTGTGTGTGAGGGGTGGGGCCCAGTTCCGTGCCAGGAGGCTTGGGGACTTTGGGGCGGGGGCCTGGGGCGTCGGCGCAGCCCAGTGACTGGCCCTTCTGTCTTTTCCAGGTCTTAGACACCTACATGTTCCATTCTTTCCTTAAAGCCCGGCTCAGTCGGAGGATGGATGCCTTCGCCCAGATGGACCTTGACACCCAGTCGGAGGAGGACAGGTGCTTCCCCGTCGTGTTTTGGACCCACCGTTCTTTGGGAATCACAGTGCTCAAGGACCTCAGTTTTATTAAAATGAGTAAACAAGAAAGCAGGAAACGCCTTGTGCTTAGAAACTCATGATGAACTGGGCGGTAGCTAGGAAGCTCTCCTCTCTACGTTTGTACTTCTTTTTTTTTTTTTGAGATGGAGTCTCGCTCTTGTTGCCCAGGCTGGAGTACGATGGTGTGATCTCGGCTCACTACAACCTCTGCCTCCGTTGTTCAAGTGATTCTCCTGCCTCAGCCCCCTGAGTAGCTGGGATTACAGGCACCCGCCACCACGCCTGGCTAACTCTGCATTTTTAGTAGAGATGGGGTTTCTCCATGTTGGTCAGCTAGTCTCGAACTCTTGACCTCAGGTGATCCACCTGCCTCAGCCACCCAGAGTGCTGGGATTATAGGCATAGTCACTGTGCCCAGCTTTTTTTTTTTTTTTCTTTAAGACAAAGCCTCGCTCTGTCACCCAGGCTGGAGTGCAATGGTGCAACATTGGCTCACTGCAACGTCTGCCTCCTGGGTTCAAGTGATTCTTCTGCCTCAGCCTCCCAAGTAGCTGGGACTACAGGCACCCGCCATCATGCGTGGCTAGTTTTTGTATTTTTGTAGAGATGGGGTTTTACCATGTCAGCCAGGCTAGTCTCGAACTCCTGACCTCAGTTGATCCTGAGTGCTGGGATTCCAGGTGTGAGCCACCGCGCCCGTTTCTGCTTCTTGAGGGAATGCTTGAAGCGTGCCGGATGTTAGCGTGCTCCCTGGGGTTTGTGGTCCTGCCTCTTCCTCGGTGCTGCCCCCCCATCTCCTCTCTTCACCCCCCATCCTCAAAGCCTGCTTAGTTTTCTGTCTCTTCCTTGCTGCTTTTCCTGAGCCCCTTCCACACATGTCCACTGCAGACAGGGCTCTGTTGGCTTACACTGCTTTCTTCTGGGCATGCATCTGGGTCCCTCTGAGGCTGCACATGGTGAGATTTGGGCAACACGTTCTTATACTCTGTTTCCATTGGTGTGCGAGGGCGTCACCTGCTCTCCATGACACTGGGAAAAGTGCCTCGTTTAGGCTTATTCTTTAATCATGATTGTGTCTGTAAAGTAAAACGTTGCTTTCCCTACCCCAGAATAAATGGAATGCTGATAAGTCCAAGGAGACCGACTGTGGAGAAAATCGCCTCTCGGAAGTCCTCACCCCTGCACATCCCTCACAGGCGCATGGTGGTGAGCATGCCCGACCTGCAGGACATCGCCACGCCCGAGCTGGCACCCAGGAACTCCTCGCTTCGGCTGACAGACACTGCGGGCTGCAGGGGCAGTGGCACAGGTGAGGGCTGCCCCCTTCCCCACGGTGCTGTCCCTCCATTCCTGCATTGCAAGTCATTAAGCAAAACTGCAGCTCGTTTCAGGGGAGGGAGGGGCTTGCTCTAGTTATTTGAAATGTTTAGAATATTCATTTTGTCAACTGCATGCATTCTAGAAAGTGATTTCTTGTCTGTATTTTCTGCCACCCAGTGTCACTGCTAAGGATAATGGCTCTGCACAGTTTGGCATCCTTCACAGGCCTAGGCTGTGCATGTCTGCACGTGTGGGTTACATGATGTATCATACACACATGTGATGGGATGCAGGGAGTGCCAGGCACTTTCTAGAGCCGGAGCATGAAGGAGCTGAGTGCCCTGCCCTCATGGAGCTGGCATTCTGGGACCAGGGTTAAAGTGAGCAGGGCCAGGGGTGCGGAGGGGGCTGTGACTGGGGACATTTCCGCAGAGACGGGAGCACATGGAGAGGCCGAGCCAGCCTCGAGCCTTCTGGGGGAGGTGCACCCTGACCCTCATGGCTGGGAGAAACTGTCGGGAGGCCTTGACCCCTGGGCAGCTGCTGCTGCTGTCTCGGGCCCAAGCAGCAAGTACTGTGTCGTTTCTCCTCATCACTGTGCTGGGACCCCAGGAGCTGCATGCGTGAAACCTCGATGACCCCCAGGGCTGTGGTCTAGCAGAGGCAGAGTGAGTGACAGGCCACATTGCCTTCATCATGTGAGCACTGGAGGCTGCTGCGGGGCCCAGGCCTTCTGCCCCTGGCTGTGTGACCCTGGGCAGGAGACTTCATCTCCCTAGTCCTGTGGTTCCTCTTCTGAACGCCTGTCAGTCTGCCCTGCAAATGCCCTGTGCCCATTTGCCCTGAGAGTGTGCTCTGCTTTCCTTGTCCTTGCAACCTTGCCGTGGAGCCCCGTGGCCTCGTCCTGCTCTCTTGGCCCACTGGAGCTCCCGTAAGAAGAGGAAACCCAGCAGCCAGTTGGCCCTTAGGTAACAGTTATTGAAGGAGCCAGTGTGAGACACACACCTGGGTTACGGTTGGCTCAGGTACTTAGTTGGTGTGCCCCTGGGACAAGTAACCCAGGCTGTGGCAGCCTCAGTTTCCACATGGTAGAACGGGACCGTAATGACAGTGCCCTGCTCCTGAGTTGTCTTTATGGTAAGTGAAACTATTGCTCTAAGCGCTGAGTCCTGCCTAGCAAGTGCATCTTGGCTTAGGCTGAGCTTGATCCTCACGTGAAGCTTCAGCACCCGGTACTGCAATTGTGTTACTAGTTGTAGCAAATGAAATTGTTCAGGAATGCTAGCTGCTGCTTTCTGTGGAGTATCGTGGAAGCAAAATGAGGGTTCTCCATGCCTCCCGGGGGGCGGGCGTGTGGAGCGTTCTGGAGAGAACACACCTGTTCTCATTTGACTCTCCATCCAGGGAAGCCTCGTCCTGACAAGATGGCGTGACAGGTACAGCTGTTCATTTTTAAGGTCTGTGCTAACGGTCTCCTTCTTTCCCCTTAATGTTTTAGTTCTGAATGTGCTGCCCAAGTCCACATACATGTTCAAGATTCCAGAGATCCACTTCCCGCTGGTGGGCCAGTGCGTGCAGGCCTACCACGCTGACCTCGCCGCCCTGCTGACCAAGGCCATGGGCCTTCTGGCTCCTGACAACTCTCTACTCCTGGCCCGCTATTTCTACCTCCGAGGGCTCGTTCATCTGATGCAGGGACAGCTGCTGAACGCCCTCTTGGACTTCCAGAATCTGTATAAAACAGACATAGGGATCTTTCCCGCTGACCTGGTGAAGAGGACAGTGGAGTCCATGTCTGCTCCTGAGCGGGCGCAGGCTGAGCGGGCGCCAGAGCTGATGAGGCTCATCAGCGAGGTCCTGGACAAGCCGCACGAGGCCTCGAAGCCGGATGACCACGTGAAGAACTTCGAGCTGCCCAAGAAGCACATGCAGCTGGGCGACTTCGTGAAGCGGGTTCAGGAGTCGGGGATCGTGAGGGACGCCAGCACCATCCACCGGCTGTTCGAGGCCCTGACTGTGGGTAAGAGGAGCCTGGCACCAGCACACATTTAATTTCTTTACGTAGAGACAGGGTCTGGCTCTGTCGCCCAGGCTGGAGTGCACTGCGCAATCACAGCTTACTGCAGCCTCCACCTCCCGGACTCAAGCAGTCCCCCCACCTCAACATCCCGAGTAGCTGTAACTACAGGTACCCGACACCGTGCCTGGCTGATTTGTGTATTTTTTGTAGAGACAGGGTTTCAATGTGTTGTCCAGGCTGGTCTCTGAATCCTGGGCTCAAGTGATCCACCCGCCTCGGTCTCCCTAAGTGCTAGGATTACAGGCATGAGCCACCGTGCCTGGCTGATATAGTTTATTTTTGAGACAGTGTCTTGCTCTGTCGCCCAGGCTGGAGTGCAGTGGTGTGATCTCAGCACACTGCAACCTCTGCCTCCTGGGTTCAGTGATTCTCCTGTCTCAGCCTGCCGAGTAGCTGGGATTACAGGTACCTGCCACCATGCCCAGCTAATTTTTATATTTTCGTAGAGACAGGGTTTCACTATGTTGGCCAGGCTGGTCTAGAACTCCAGACCTCAAGGTGATCCGCCTGCCTTGGCCTGCCAAAGGGCTAGGATTACAGTCATGAGCCACCGAGCCCGGCCCCATATATTTTAAATACTTAATGACAATGGTCAGGTGACAGCAGCGGTGAGGTAAGCCACCAGCAGGTGACAGGCAAGACTACTGCAGCGCCATGGGCTTTACTGTTGCTCTGGGCACTTACCTGGGAGTGGGAGCGGTTGGCAGGGCCCCTAGGCAGTGTTCCTATCGCTGAGATCTTAATGCATCCCCAGGCTGGGCTCTGAGCCTCACTCTGCATGGGTGGAAGGGGCGTAGAATTGCTGATGGGAGATGAAGACACTGCTTGTCCGGGGGGATTGCTCAGCATCTAGATAGAGCCGTGGTCTCGGCTGAAATGCTGCAGACATTTGCAAAAGCAGGGCCATGGGACAAATGCCGGGGTCCTGCGCCCAGAGGCAACACCTGCTGCGTTTCCCATGGACTGCAGTGGCCTTGTGCTTAGACCCAGCTGGGGCCCCATGTGCCTCCCTCCCTAGAGGGAGCCACTGTCCCAAGCTGGAGCTTGCTTTCCTGGCCATGGTTTTATGCATTTACTACAAATGGATGCACCTGACACAGTATCTCTGTTTCATGAGTTTAAGCACCAAGTTGGGAGAGTGGGAATTGCCACCCAGATGTCTGAGTTTGCATGTGCCGTGTTGGTCGTGGTGTTTTTGAGACGTATGTGTCGCTCCACATCCACGGAGTTCGTTCGCTTCCATCACTGCCCGTGCTGTCATGTGTAGGAATGACTGTCCACCCATTTCACCATCAGTGGTGTCCGGCAGCGCCACCTGTTCCAGCACGGACACAGTGACTGTCCCCGCGCCTGTTTGCTTGAGTGTGTGCGGGTCGGTGCCTCTCGGATGTGGACCCAAGGCCTACTTTGTGATGTGAGAACTTCATCCGGGCTCTGAGGCTGCGTCTCCATCCTCCGGGAAGCACACATTCTGTCTCAGCTCTTACCCGATGTGTGTGATGATGTCACACGGATGTCACGAACATCCGCTCACGGGCCCGGGGGAGCAGTTGTGGTTTCTGTTCTGTTAGCTGCGTTTTCATGGTCTGCCCATTTTTCTCTTGGGCTGCTTCTCCTTAAGGACGTGTAGGGCTTTTCGTGCCCTTAGGAAAAGCTGTCCAGGTGACAGGCCTGCCAGGTCGCTTTTCCAGCTACGAAACAAGCGCCGTGGAATGTGAGTTCCTTGCTTTTCTTGCCTGTGGGCTCTGAGGGATGTCAAGGCCAAGTGTGTGTGTGTGTGTGTGTGTGTGTGTGTGAATGCGTGTGAGTGTGAAAATGTGAGTGTGTGTATATGTGTCTGCACTATCCCTGCATGGTGAAGCATGTGTGTAAGTGTGTGTGTGTGCGCCTGTACCTCTCCCTGCATGGTGAAGCGTGTGTGTGTGTGCATGCGCGCACATGCATGTACCTCTCGCTGCGTGAAGCGTGTGTGTGCCTGTACCTCTCCCTGCGTGAAGCATGTCTGTGAGTGTGTGTGTGTGTGCGCGCGCACCTGCACCTCTCCCTGCGTGGTTAAGTGTGTGTGTGCCTGTACCTCTCCCTGCGTGGTTAAGTGTGTGTGTGTGTCTGTGTGTGCGCACGCGTGCCTGTACCTCTCCCTGCGTGAATCATGTAAGAGAGTGTGTGTGTGTGCGCCTGTACCTCTCCCTGCGTGAAGCATGTGTATAAGGGTGTGTGTGTGCCTGTACCTCTCCCTGCGTGAAGCATATGTGTGTGTGTGTGTATGTGCACCTGTACCTCTCCCTGCGTGGTGAAGCATGTGTGTATGTATGTGTGTGTGCGCGCGTGTGCCTGGACCTCTCCCTGTGTGGTGAAGCATGTGTGTAAGAGTGTGTGTGTGTGTGCACCTGTACCTCTCCCTGCGTGAAGCACGTGTGTGTGTATGTGTGCACCTGTACCTCTCCCTGTGTGAAGCATGTGTGTAAGAGAGAGTGTGTGTGTGTGTGCGCTTGTACCTCTCCCTGTGTGGTGAAGCATGTGTGTAAGGGTGTGTGTGTGTGTGCATGCCTGTACCTCTCCCTGCGTGAAGCGTGTGTGTATGTGTGTGCGTGCGTGCGCCTGTACCTCTCCGTGGTGAAGCATGTGTGTAAGAGAGAGTGTGTGTGTGCGCCTGTACCTCTCCGTGTGGTGAAGCATGTAAGAGTGTGTGTGTGCACACTTGTACCTCTCCCTGCGTGGTGAAGCATGTGTGTATATGTGTGTGTGTACACTTGTACCCCTCCCTGCGTGGTGAAGCGTGTATAAGAGTGTGTGTGTGCGTGCCTGTACCTCTCCCTGCGTGGTGAAGCGTGTGTGTGTGTGTGTGT